CACACACTGACAGTTCTCTCACAAACACACACACTGACTGCTCTCACAAACAAACGCACTGACTGCTCTCTCACACACACACTTACTTCTCTCTCACACACACACTGACTGCTCACACACACACACACACTGACTGCTCTATCACATTTTATTTGAATAGGTCCAGTCAGATTTGTCAGTGGACCGTTAGACCAGATTTGACGCAGGTGCGTTCAGCAGCCCGCACCTGGCTCTTCAGTGAGCGGAGGTGGGTGGTGTACCAGGGGGAGGAGCGGGAGTAGGAGACAGTACGGGAGGTGATGGGGGCAACAGTATCGAGTGTGGAGGAGAGGGTGTTGTGGAGGAGGGTGAGAGGAGAAGAGGGGTCAGTGAGGGTTGAATGCCAAAGGGAGAGGAGTTCAGAGGACTCCAAGGCAGCGATTAGGGATTGTGGGGGTAACTTCTTCCAGGGGCGGTGGAAGATGGTGATGGGTCTGGTGGAGGTGGGGAGGGTGATGGAGGTGGTGAAGGAGATGAAGTGGTGGTCGGAGATGGCCTTGTCGGTGATGGTGACATCCGAGACACTGAGGTCCCGGGTGATCACCAAGGCGAGTGGGTGGCCGTGACTGTGAGTGGGGGAGTTGTTGTGGAGGGAGAGGTTGAGCGAGGAGAGCAGGGAAGAGAAGTCTGAGGAAATGGAGCAGGAGGGGGTGAAGTGCAGGTTAAAGTCGCCCAGAATGATGGGGCGATCAGAGCAGAGGCAGAGAGATGTAAGGAGTGTTGAAATATCGGAGATGAAGGTGGGAGAGGTTTTTAGGGGCCGGTAGAGGAGGAGGATTCTGAACGAGAGGAAGGAGGGGTGGGAGAGTGCGAGGTGCTCGAAAGAGGGGAAAGAGCCAGAGGCATAGGGGAATGGGGCCAGTGGTGTCCTTGAGATAAGGGCTACACCACCGCCACGGCGGTTGGGGCGAGGGATGATGGGAGGAGGTGTAGCCGGGTGATGTGACCCCCGTGAGGCGGAAGGTGTCACCTGGGGTGAGCCAGGTTTCCGTTAAGGCCATGATGTCAATACTCTCATCAAGGATGAGATCGTTGATGACCAGGGCCTTGCTATAGAGGGAGCGGACATTTTGTAGTCCGATGTGGAGGGAGCGGTTGACAGAAGGGTGTGTGGGAGGGGAGGGAGGTCCAGGTTGTGAGGCAGGGGTGGGGGAAATCGGGATAAGGGAGGAGAGGTTGACTCCCCGGGTCTGTTTCCGGGGTGGCTGGCGAGTGTGGTGGGGAATGGGGCAGTGGGTGTGGCTGCTGCTGGACAGCCAACGCCGAGTGCCGCGTTGAGCCCGGCGGAGGATTCCCAGACTGGAACAGAGGGAGATTGCGGGAGGGTCAAGTGGGGATAGAAGAGGAGAGGGACGGAGAGAGAGGAGGAGAGAGCGGGAGAGATGCAGACGGAGGAGGGTTTGGGGGTAGAGAGGAGGGAGGGAGGGGGCTCGGGTCAAAGCGGCAGCCACAGTTCGCACGCGGGGACCTGGACCGAGAGGTCAGGTGGATGGCATTATCCCACAGGCTGGGACTGGGGCAGCCAACCCAACAGGTCCAACCCCTCCCGCCGCTCCCCGTGTGGCTGCACTCCCTCCCGCCGCTCCGCGCGCGGCTGCACTCCCTCCCGCCTCTCCCCGTGCGGCTGCATTCCCTCCCGCCGCTCCCCGTGTGGCTGCACTCCCTCCCGCCGCTCCCCGTGTGGCTGCACTCCCTCCCGCCGCTCCCCGTGCGGCTGCACTCCCTCCCGCCGCTCCCCGTGCGGCTGCACTCCCTCCCGCCGCTCCCCGTGCGGCTGCACTCCCTCCCGCCGCTCCCGGTGCGGCTGCACTCCCTCCCGCCGCTCCCGGTGCGGCTGCGGCTGCACTCCATCCCGCCGCTCCGCGCGTGGCTGCACTCCCTCCCGCCGCTCCCCGTGTGGCTGCACTCCCTCCAGCCGCTCCCCGTGTGGCTGCACTCCCTCCCGCTGCTCCCCGTGGGGCTGTACTCCCTCACGCCGCTCCCCGTGTGGCTGCACTCCCTCCCGCCGCTCCCCGTGTGGCTCCACTCCGTCCCGCCTCTCCCCGTGTGGCTGCACTCCCTCCGCCGCTCCCCGTGTGGCTGCGACCGCCGCCGCGACCTCCACACAGAGCCTAATAATAATCCCTCCGAAAAAAACAAAAAACAATAATAAATCGGTCATTTTCAATCCACGACTGTTTGTGGGACATCGCTGTACGCAATGGGCTGCCCCGTTCGCCCACAAATATACAGTCACTTCTCTTTCCATTGTGTTCTGTGAAGCACTTTGGGACGTCCTCCCGACGTGAAAAGCGCTATATCAAATGCAAGGATTATTATTATTATTATAAAGGTGTGTTTAACCTGCTGAGCCCTCGGGGTGCGCGGGTGGAGGGGGAGGAGCTCAGCTCAACATCACCCGGATCTTAGCATCTTTCTCCATCTTCAAAATGGAATCATCAGATCACTTTCCGGGGGTAATAATCCTTTCGGAATAATAATAATAATAATAGGTCACTTCAACCCACGGCTGTTTGTGGGGGCGTCGCTGGGCGCCATCGGCTGCCACGTTTTGCTCAGAAAACGCAACAACAACAACAAACATTTTCTACTGCGCCTGAGTTTCACATCAGGAAGACGTCCCAAGGCACTGCACAGTCAGGGATTTGGCCCCGAGGGATGGAGACAAATAGAGAGAGACTGAAAGAGACAGACTGAGAGAGAGAGAGAGAGAGACCGATAGTCGGGAATTTGGACCCGAGCTGGGCGTTGTGATCACGAAGGAGTGGAGGGTTGAGAGGTGGGGGTAGGAGGGTGACCAAAAGCTCCGTCGGTCGAAGAGGAGTGTCTTGAGATGTACCTTGAAGGAGGTGAGGAGGGGACGATTAAGGCGGAGGCACTGTAGGACGGAGCTGCAGGACAAACCGCCATTGATGGGGCGGGCGAGGCGGGGCACGTGAAGCAGGCTGGAGCCTGCTGGAGCGGAGGGAGTGTACAGTTTGGTAGGGGGTTAAGTCACAGAGTTGGGGGGGGTGGGGGGGGGGGGGGGGGCAAGCCATGGAGGGCTTTGCAGGTGAGGACCAGGATATTGAACTGTATCCTCTGTGTAACGGGAAGCCGGTCGAGTTGGTGATGGAGTTGTGGTCAGTGTGCGCGAGTGGGAAATATTGGTAGGTAAGAGCTGTGTGAGTGGGACTGGTTGGGTTGAGAGCAGGGGAGTGGAAATATTTGGGGTAACAGCAGGGGACTACTTGGGGTAAGAATGGGAAAGTGGGATTAGTTGGGGTAAGAGTGGGGGAGTGAGACTAGTTGTGGTAAGAGCGGGCAAGTGGAACTAGTGTGTAGCTCTGGGAAAGAGCTGGCACAGACCCAAAAAGCCAAATTGACTCCTCGTCTGCTGTACAATGCTATGATTCTATGAAACAGCCATAAAATGAGCGACTTATTCTTATTTGGAGTAACTGTCGGCCAGGACCCCGGTGAAACAGCACCGCACCTCGATCCAAGGTTGTTTTGCGCAATGGCTCAATGCAAAATGTTTATTTTGACGACTTCCCGGCACCTCTCTCCACACTACAGCTCATCCAGAACTCTGCAGCTCATGTACTGTCCCGCACCAGGCTTCGCGACCACATCACTCCTACTCTCGCTCGCCTCCACTGGCTCCCCATCGCCCAGAGGATCCAATTCAAGATACTCATCCTCACCTACAAGGCCATTCACGGCCTCGCTCCCTCCTACCTCTCCGACCTAGTGTCCCCCTACTTACCTACCCGCCGTTCCTCTGGCTCCGGTCTGCTCCACATCCCCCGCATCAACCGCCCTATCATCGGTGGCCTTCAGCCTCTCAGCCCCGAGGCTCTGGAACTCCATCCCCCAGTGCCTTCGCCGCTTCCGCCCTTTCCTCCTTCAGTCTCAAGACCTTTCTCTTTGACTGTGCCTTCAGCTCCCCTCTCGACTCTCTACACCCTCCTCGGCCCCTCCTTTCCTTCCCTCCCCTCACCCTGACCATTTGCCCCCTCCTCGCCCCTGGCCTTGCCTCCCCTCACCCTGACCATTTCCCCCTTCCTCGCTCCCTCCCTTCCCTCCCCTCACACTGACCATCTCCCCCCAATGCACGGGTCCTGACCAAACTGAACATCGCCTTGGGACGTCCTCCTGACGTGAAAGGTGCTCTATAAATGGAATCTTGTTGCTTGTTGTTGCTCTCACACACACACACACTGACTGCTCTCACACACATACGACTGCTCTCTCACACACACTGACTGCTCTCCCACACACACACACAAACTGACTGCTCTCCCACACACACACATACTGACTGCTCTCACACACACACTGACTGCTCTCTCACACACATACACTGTCTGCTCTCTCACACACACAAACTGACTGCTCTCTCACACACATACACACTCACTGTTCTCATTCTCTCTCACGCACAATAACTATTCTCTCTGACACACAAGCGCACACTTTGACAGCTCACTGCCACTCCCGCAAACCCACTGACTTTTCCCTCTCCTTCTCACACAGACACACGGTCTGCAAACTCTCTTTCTGACATACACGAACACTCGGACTGATCTCTCTCTCAGGATCTCACACACAAACAGTGACGGCTGAGGCACAGAGAGAGACAGAGACAGAGAGAGAGATGGAGACTAAGAGAGACAACGAAAGAGAGAGCCTGAAATAGGGAGACGGAAATATATAAACTGAGAGAGACTGACACACAGAGAGAGAGAGAGAGAGAATCTGAGAGAAAATGCATCAGTTGTGTTCGCTTACAGCAGTTTAGCAGTGACTGAGGGTCGGGGCTCTCCAGCCGCCCGCACGGCTGTAGGCGGTGTGTGTCAATAACGGTCCCCAGAGGAGAGATGGAAGAGGAATCAGGGTGAACATCTTTAATAATCAGTCAATTCAGTGCACAGAATATATTCCATATTACACAGACAGTGTGGACAGTCACTGCCTCAGTCAAAATCTCACTATCACTGACAGCTCAGCTCTGATTCCCTGCAGTGACTCCAACTGATTCTCTCCGTCTGAACTGAACCCATTCTCCCACAGCCTGAAACACATTAAACAGGAAATAAACCCATGGGATAATGGTACAAACTGTAAACTGTTCGTGTCGCAGTTTAATGAATAAATAAATCCCTTAAAACTGTTCCCATTCTGATACGCAGCCCTTTCTCTGTGTTTATCACATTAAACACTGACACAAACACTCACCAGATCCTCTCCAGACTGGTGCAGGTCTGTATGAGGCGGCGGAGAGCGGAGACAGAGCCGTCTGTGAAGGAGTTAGAGCTCAGGTCCAGGAACCTCAGTGAGCGGTTTGTACTGAGAGCGGAGACCAGAGCATCAGTGCAGCCATCGGTCAGTCTGTTACTGTCCAACCTGGAGATCAGAGACACAGAGACATGACAGGGATCAGAGTAAACACAGTGTATAACCCACTGTCACTCACAGTTTGTTTGATGCCGGACAGGTTGTAGGAGTTCATACACACAAACACACACACACACCAACACACACAAACACAGACAAAAACATCGCCGCAGATACACACTTACTCTCACACACACAAATACACACAAACACATGACCCACAGAAATGTACACACAAACACACCCAAACAGAGTCACATTAACAGAGAGACGCGCACACAGACACACACATACACACATAAATACACACACTCACACACGCAGACAAACAAACACACAAACACTCTCACACAAACGCGCTCACACAGAAACATACACAATCACACCCAAAAACTCACCCACGCAAACACATACGTACGCAAACACACACACAGAAACTCACACAAGCAAACACACACACACACACAAACAATCAATCATTCACACAAACGCACACACATGTGCACACAAACACAACCGCACACAAACACACACACAGAAGAAAACCCACGCACGCACAACAAACATACATACACATTCACACGAACACACACAAATACACACACACAGAAACACACAAACAAACGTACACAAAAACAGACTGACAAACACGCACACACAAACACCCACAAACATACAAACGCACATAGAGATACACTCAAAAACACACAAACACAAACAGAAGCACATCATGTACAAACAAGCACACACATATAAATAGACATACAAAAATAAATAGAAACACACACAAATATACACACACAAAAACTCACACGCACACACACAAACACACAAACACTCACAAAAGCACTCAAAACCTCATACACACAAAATCGAACATACGCCAACACACACACTCAAAGGCAAACATAAGCACAATCACTCACACAAACACACACAAACATAAACAAAATGGCACACAAACACACACACATAAATACATACATACACACACACAAACACATGACCACAGACAAGTACACACAGACACACACGCAAACACACTCATGCAAGCACACACACACACACACAAACAAACAAACACATGTCGAACAGACAAATACAGACACACACAGTGATACACACACACGCATACAAAGAGAAACACACAGAAACAAACACACACACTCACAGAAACACAAACAAACGGACACACACACAAACACACGCAAACATACACGTAAACACACACACACAGAAAAAAAGCACACAAGTACACACACAAATACACATACACAGACATATACAAAGATACATAACCATACACGCGAAAACACACGCACAAATACACACAGAAACACAAACAAAGACACACAAAAACAAACTCACAAATACGCACACACAAAAACACAACACACAATCACACACACACACACATAGAAACATACATAAAGACAAACAGACACACACTCAAAAACACACAAACAAACAAAGAAACACAAAATCAAATACAAACACAGACATAAATACACATACATAGATTCACACAGACAAACATACGCAAACACACACACACAAAACACCCACACACAAATACACACAGAGAAACACACAAACATAAATACACATACACGCAACCAAACACACAAACGTGCAATCACACAGACACAACCACGCACATACATTCACACACACACAAACACACACACACAAATACACAATAACATCAATAAAATTGCATTTACAGAGCGCCTTTCACGTCGGCAGGACGTCCCAAAGCGCTGAACAGTCAGGTGTCGGGGCCTGAGCATGGGGAGGGGTGGGAGGTGGGAGGGGTGGGGGAGGGTGGGAGGGGGGGGAGGGTGGGAGGGGTGGGGAGGGTGGGAGGGGTGGGGGAGGGGTGGGAGGGGTGGGGAGGGGTGGGTAGGGTGAGGGAAGGCAGAGAGGTGGGAGGGAGACCAAAGCACGATCGAAGAGAAGGGTCTTGAGACCGACCTTGAAGGAGACAAGAGAGGAAGTGAGGGGAAGGGACCGTGGGATGGAGTCCCAGAGTGTGGGGCAGAGAGGCTGAAAGCCCGGACACCGATGGGAGGGCGGGTCGGGCGGGAGACACGGAGCAGCCCGGAGCCCACTGGACGGAGGGAGCGGGCAGGTTGGTAGGGAGTCAGCAGGTCAGAGAGGGGAGGAGGGGGCGAGGCCATGGATGGCCTTAAAGGTGAGGACGACGATCTTGAACTCGATCCTCTGGGATACACACACACAATCGCACACACTCACAGGAACACACACAAACACACACACAATCGCACACACTCACAGGAACATACACAAACGCACACAACAACAACAACAAGATTACAGTTGTATATCGCCTTTCATGTCGGACGTCCCAAGGCTCTGACACACACACACTCACAAGCACAAAGTCACACAAATACACACACCAAACACACAAACACGCACACTCACCAACAATCGTTCACACAAGCAAACACAGTCGAACACAAATACACAGAGATACAAAAAAAACCGCAGAAACCACACACACACACAGAAAGAGACACACACATAAACACATCGAGACACACATATTTATATATATAGATATACTGAAAACACACACACAAACACAAACACAGAAACAAACACAAATACACACACAAACAATCGCTCACACAGACACACACCACTTACGAAAGCACTCACAAAAGCACACAGACCCACATACACAGGCAAACGCACACATACACACAGACACGCAAACAGACACACACACACAAAATCATATGCACTGACACACACACACACACACACACACAGACATACATACACACAGTGTTGTCATGGGTTAATGTTAATGTGTGGTTTAAGAATCTAAAATAGAAGTGCAAAAGCTGCAAAGCTCAGTAACTGAAGGCAGAACCCAATACAATGGCAACATAAGGTCAGGACGTACAGGGACACAGAAAGTCTGTTCACACTTACACACTGGACGAAGGGACTGATCAGGAGAGAATAAAATGTGGTTAAAGGGAGAATTGAAACATATTATGGATATAACCACATAAGGAGTTGTTTTTCTTAAAAAAGACAGCTTTGTCTGGAGTTATTAAGTTGTCTTTAAACAAATGTGTGTTAGATATCTCTCGGAAACGGTAGCGGCGCAGTGCGGGACACGACCAGGGCTGTGACAGGAATCCTGTCGGTACTTTTGTGTCTTGTGCATTATTTTATTGTTTCATTTATTTGTGTATTTCCTGCTGTTTTGACCTGAATAAAGTGACTGAACTCAACCAATTGGTAAACTGGAATCGCATCATTCTAACATTGTTGGAGAGAGTTGCAAATGTTTCTAACAACAGACACACACACACAGACATACATAAACAGACAGACACACAAACACACAGACAGAGACAGAGACCACACACACACACATACACAGACAGATTCACACACACACACAGACAGACACACACACACACGCACAGGCACATCACAGTCTGTCGCTCTGTCTCTCTTACTCTCTCTCCATCTCTCTCTCAGTCTCCTTCTACGTCTTTCACTTTGTCTCACAGACTCTCTCTCTCTGTGTAATTTTCGTTCTCTGCCTCTCCACAAAACACAGTCACTCTACATTATAACATGTTGTCTCTCACAGTCTCTCTCTTTCTCCCAGTCTCCCTCTATCACAGTCTCTCTCACTGTCTCAGTCTCTATCTCTTTGAAGCTGTTCCTCAGTCTCTCTTCACTCGGTCTCTGAGTCACTTTCTCCCTCAGTCTCTACCTCTATCTCTCCCGCAGTTTCTCCCAATCACTCTCTCTCTCTCTCCCTCTTTGACTCTGTACGATTCCCCCAAAAAACAACATTCGCTACACTTTAAAATATATTCTCTCTCAGTCTCTCTCTCTCCCTCTCTATCAATCTTTCTCAGTCTCTTTCTTTCTCTCTGTGTGTCTATCAGTGTCTCTTTCTGTCTCTCTCTCAATCTCTCTCTCTCAGTCAGTCAATCTCTTTCTGTCACTATCTCTGTCTCTCACTGTCTCGCCTGCAAAACATACAGTCACTACACATATATTCTCTCTCCATTTCCGTCTCACTCAGTATTTCAGTCTCTCTCAATAGCTCTCTCAGTCGCTCTTTAAGACTATGTCTCTCGCTCCCTCTCTCCCTTTCTCTCTCTCTTTCAGTCTCTTTCACAGTCTCTCTCTCTGCCTCTCCCTCAGTCTCTCTCTCTCATTCTCGCCCTTAAGTCTTTCTCTCTCTCTCCCTCTCTTGGTCTCTCTCTTTCACAGTCTCTCTCGCAGTCTCTCCCTCTGCCTTTCCCCCAGTCTCTCTCTTTCTTTCTGAGTCTCTCAGCCTCTGTCTCTCAACCTCTTTCGCTCTGTGTCTCTCAGACTCTCGCTCACTCTATCTGTGTCTCAGTCTCTCTTTCTCTCAGTCACTCAGACTATCTTTCACTATCAGTATCGCTGTATATCTTTCTGTCTCTCTCTCTCTCACAGTCTCTCTCACTCCGTGTCTCTTAGTCACTTTCTCTCTCAGTCTCTCTCTTTGTTTCTCTCCAACTCTTGCGGTCACTCTCATTCTCTCACTCAGTTTGTCTCTCTCAAACTACGTCTCTCAGACCATCTTTCTCTGTCGGTGTCCCTCAGCCTCACTATCTCTCTCTCTCTCTCTCTCTCTCTCAGTTTCTCTCACTCTGTGTCGCTGAGTCACTCTCCCTTACCCACTCTCTCACTCTTCCATTCTCTCAATCTCTCGCTCTCTCGTTCTCTCTCATTCTCTCGCTCAGTTTGTCTCTCAATCTCCCTTTCCAAGTCTCTCACTCTCCCAGTCTCTCACTCGCTCTCTCAGTCTGTCTCTCAGTCACTCGCTCTCTGAGTCAATCTCTCTCTCTCTCTGTCTTTCCGTCTCTCTGTCTCTCTCCCAGTCTCTCAGTCTCCCTCAGTGCCTCTCTGACTCTCTCTCTGCTCCTTTCTTTCTGCCTCTCTTTCTCTCTTTCTCTTCTTTCTCTCTCTTTGTCAGTCTCTCTCACTGCCTCTCTCTCTGTTTCTCTCTCTCTGCCTCTCTTTCGCACTAACACTCTCTTCACCCACAAAACATAGTGTCACTACACTTTGTAATATCTCTCTCACACTCTCTCTCTCTACATTTTCCTCTCTCTCATTCTCTCTCTGTTTCTCTCACTCTGTTCTTTCTCTCATTCAGTCTCTCGCTCTGTCTCTGTCTTTTTGTCCGACTGTCACTCTCTCTCTCTGTCAGTTTCTCTTTCAGTCTTTCTCTCTCTCTCTCTCTCCTCTCTCTCTCAAAGTCTGTCTCACAGTCACTCGCTCTGGCTCTCCCAGAAGACACAGTCACTGTTGGTTATAATATATTTTTGTCTGCGTCTCTCTGTGTCTTTATCTGTCTCTCTTTCGCTCTCAGTCGCTATCTCTTAGTCTCTCCCAGAAAATATACAGTCACTACATGTTATATTTCATCTACCTGATCCTCTTTCACTCTGTCTGTCTTTCTCTCAGTCTGTTTCTCTATCAGTCTCCCTCTTAGTTTCTTTCTCTCAGTCTTTCTCTGGTTCTCTTTCTCTCCCTCTTTCTCTCTCCAACTCAGTCTCGCTCTCTCAGTTTCGCTCTCTCAGTCTGTGTCTCGGTCTCTCGCTCTATGTTTCTCTCACTCAGTCTCTCTTCACTATCTGTCTCTCCTATTCTCTCTTTGTGTCTCTGTTTCTTAGTCCCTCTCACAATAAAAGTCACTAAACGTTACATTTCTTTTCCCCTAGTCTCTCTCTCTCTCTCTCTCTCTCTCTGTGCCTATTTCTCAAGCTATCACTCTGTCTTTCTCTCACTCAGTCCCCCTTCTCTCTCCGTCTCTCTTTCTGTCTCTCTATCTCTCTTTCCGTCTCTCTCTCTCTCAGTCCCCTTCAATCTCTCTGTCTCACTCACAGTCTCTCACGAAATATGTATTTGAAGGGATTACTAACCCTGGAAAAGCGATCTGCAAATTGTCTAACAACCGGATTGTGACTGACTGCGAGACAAACAGACACAAGTGGAGTAAGGAAACATCCGTAAGGTTTTGCTCTGCCAGGAATCACCCCCAGGCCCTCTCGCTAGCGAGGCGAGGGCTCTAACCACTGAGCTACAGGGCTCAGACTGCAGTGTGTGAGCAGACACAGGCTAACTCAGGGCTAAAGCTGTGTAGACTTTATTCTGGGGAAGGGTTTTGCATAAATAATTTGACTGCAAAAATACCAACAAAAACTACCTCAGAATATGATTTTTCCACAATTTGTTTTCCATCCGAGAGCTAAAGCCAGTAGGGAATATGGATGGAATCATTGACCCGAGTGTGTTAAAGGTCTCAGGATTAGGGAGGAAGTCCCAACATCATGCATGTCTGAGCCGGACAGGTTGAAGAAATGCGCGCATACAAACACACACATACACACGCATAAACACATCACCGAAACAGACCCATGTACATACAAACTCAAACATACACACACATAGGAACAAGTAAGCTCACACACACATAAAAATACATACACATACATTATCGCACACACACATGCATACATACACTCAAACATAGAAACACACAGACACACACGCACGAACATTCATGCACACAGGACACTTGGGCACACAACACGCCATCATATACAAACATATACCATCATATACAAACACACCACACACAGAAACACACATACAAACTCACAAAAATACACACAGAAAAAAGCACAGAGAAATACACACAGACACACACAAACAAACACCAACACACAATGATACACACACACAGATACACACGCAGGCCCACACTAAAACAAGGCACACGCAGACACACATACACACATACAGAAACACACTCATGATTAAACACAAATGCACAAACACACACTATTCAGTGTGCTCCGAGCTCCCAGTGAGACTGCTTCTAGATTCACCCACAATTTGTCTTGAAAGTCCCCCAGTGGATCAAAAGCTTCCCCTTTCCTGGAGAGAATGGCCTCCATTCCACACACACAAATCTCCAGTCAGATGTGGAGCTGTCAGGAGGTTGGTTTGGAGAGTTTGAAGCCTGATGACAGGTTTGTGTGTGTGTCAGACACACGGCTGACAATAGTAGAGAACTACAAACCCACAGTGTGTGGAGGGATTGACGGGACCAGGGCAGGAGCTTCGGGATTAGATACAATGGGAGCGGGTTTGGGGCTTGGAGCCAGTTTAGGGGTCGGAGCTGTCCTCATGTCACTAGAGATGGGGTTTCCAGCACATGGTTTCTTATTAACACATGTTGAGAGTTTGATGTAAACGATGGCTTGTGGCCTCACACTGTCACACCAATTCCTTTCACAATATTCAGCCGCACTGATCAGACAGTCACAATAAACACATTGAGATATTGGAGTCATTCAGACTCTGGAGACACAGTGCGTTACTTACCACAGACTCTGTATTTTACACTGCGGGTTCCTCAGAGCCTCACACAGTCGCTTCACTCCACAATCTCCCAGATTATTGCCCCTCAGCCTGGACACAGAGACACAAACACAGGGAATATAGTGTAACAACACAATACACATTGACATGTATATACAGGAGCCTTTCACGTGGGGAGCAAGTCCCAAGGCGCTGGGACCAGTGTCAGACACACACACACATGTGCACACACACACACACATGTGCACACACACACATCGCAGTCTCTCTCTCTCTCTGATTCTCTCTCTGTCTCTCCCACAAAACCGTCACTACGTTTGATAATATATTTTCTTTCACCCTCTTTCTCTCTCTCTTTCCCTCAGTTTACTTCTATGTCGTTCACTATGTCTCACAGTCTCTCTCTCTAAGGTTCTTTATCTGCCTCTCCCACAAAACAAAGTCACTACACTTTATAACTTATTCTCTCTCAAGGTCTCTCTCTCTCACAATCATTCCCTCTCTTGCTCAGTCTCCTTCTCTCTCTCTCTGTCTCACACACACACTGTCAGTCTCGCTCTCTCCGGGTCTCTTAGGCTGTCCCTCAGTCTCTCTTTCACTATGTGTCTCTGAGTCACTTTCTCTCTCTCTGTCTCTTTCTTTGTCTCTCCCGCAGTTTCTCCCAATCTCTCTCTCTCACAGTTACTCTGTATCCCTTTCCCCCACAAAACACACATGCGCTACACTTTAAAATATATTTCCTCTGTCTCCCTCTCTCTCAATCTCTTTCACATTCTATCTCTCTCTCTACGACTTTCAGCCTCTGTCCCTCAATCTATCTCTATCTCTCAATCTCTTTCTCAGTCTCTCTCTCTCTCCCCCTCTATCACACACAGAGACACGCATACAAACGCCAACACACACACACCCGGAAACACGCGCACACATAAACATACACAGACACACCAGGATAACACACACTGACATACACACACACACAAACACGCACAGACACAGACACAAACATGCGCATCAACACAAACAAACACACTCAGTTCTATACTGCTCCGAGGTCCCAGTGAGACTGCTTTTAGATTCACCCACAATTTATCTTAAAAGTCTCCCAGCGGATCGAAAGCTTTCCCTGTCCTCCAGAGAATGGCCTCCACTCCACACACACAAGTCTCCAGTCAGATGTGGAACTGTCAGGAGGTTGGTTTGGAGAGTTTGAAGCCTGAGGACAGGTTTGTGTGTGTGTCAGACACACGGCTGACAATAGTAGAGAACTACAAACCCACAGTGTGTGGAGGGATTGACGGGACCAGGGCAGGAGCTTCGGGATTAGATACAATGGGAGCGGGTTTGGGGCTTGGAGCCAGTTTAGGGGTCGGAGCTGTGACTGTCCACATGTCACTAGAGATGGGGTTTCCAGCACATGGTTTCTTATTAACACAAATTGAGAGTTTGATGTAAACGATGGTTTGTGGCCTCACACTGTCACACCGATTCCTGTCACAATATTCAGCCGCACTGATCAGACAGTCACAATAAACACATTGAGATATTGGAGTCATTCAGACTCTGGAGACACAGTGCGTTACTTACCACAGACTCTGTATTTTACACTCCGGGTTCCTCAGAGCCTCACACAGTCGCTTCACTCCACGATCTCCCAGTTTATTATCATTCAAGTTCAGCTCCGTCAGTTTGTGGTCTATTTTGAGATCGGTGGACAGGTCCTCGGTGCTATCAGTTGTCAGATCGATGTCCTTCAGCCTGACAATCACAGACAAAAGAACAGAACAGGGATCAGAGTAAACACAGTGCGTATTATTATTTATTACACAGCCTGGAGATGAGAGACTCGGAGCCATAAAAGGGATCAAAGTGAATCCAACGCTGACCCTGAGAGACTGTGGATGGGATGGATTGTGTGGGACAGGAGGAAAGGGCCGGGGCTGACATTTTTTCACCTTCACGTTAAAATGACGCTGTACGTGGAACAGACACTCAAATTCAGGATTGCAGGATTGGGTGTAGTTTGGTGCAATTGTAGGTTCAGTGACCACACAGTGTGTGTTGGGGGGTGGGTAGGGGTTGGAGTGTAGGCACCTTCAGTCTGGTTCACTGTAACTCTTAATTTTGATCGATATATAGTGATTTGTTGCCAACTACTGAACAACAACAACAACAAGATTCCATTTATAGAGCGCCTTTCACGTCAGGAGGACGTCCCAAGGCGCTGCACAGTTGGGTCATGACCCGAGCAGGGGGGAAATGGTCAGGGTGAGGGGAGGGAAGGGAGGGAGAGAGGAGGGGGGAAATGGTCAGGGTGAGGGGAGGAAAGGGAGGGAGCGAGGAGGAGGAAGAGAGTCGAGAGGGGAGCTGAAGGCACGGTCAAAGAGAAAGGTTTTGAGACCGGCCTTGAAGGAGGAAAGGGAGGAAGCGGCGAAGGCACTGGGGATGGAGTTCCAGAGCCTGGGGGCTGAGAGGCTGAAGGCCCGACCACCGATAGTAGGGCGGTTGGGGCGGGGGACGTGGAGCAGACCGGAGCCAGAGGAACGGAGGGTACGGGCAGGTAGGTAGGGGGATAGTAGGTTGGAGAGGTAGGAGGGAGCAAGGCCGTGAATGGCCTTGTAGGTGAGGATGAGGATCTTGAAATCAATCCTCTGGGGGATGGGGAGCCAGTGGAGGCGAGCGAGGGTGGGAGTGATGTGGTCGCGAAGCCTGGTGCGGGACAGTACACGAGCTGCAGAGTTCTGAATGACCTGCAGTGTGGAGGGAGGTGGCGGGAAGGCCGCGAGGAGAGAGTTCCCATAGTCCAGCCTTGAGGTGACAAAGGCGTGAACCAGGGTTTCAGCGGCGTGAGGGGTGAGGTAGTGCCGTAATCTGGCGATATTCCGGAGGTGATGGAAGGCGGTGCCAGTTGTGGTGCGGATGTGAGGGAGAAAGGACAACTCAGGGTCGAACAAAACGCCGAGGTTCCTGACTGGCTTTGAGAGGTGGAGAGTGCAGCCTTGGATGCTGATGGTGTCAGCGCCTGAGGTGCGGAGGCGCTGACGTGAGCCAATCAGGAGGGCCTCGGTTTTTCGCACGTTGAGCTGAAGAAAGTTGTCTCTCGTCCAGGACTCGATGTCGGACAGGCAGCTGTCAGGACATCGGTGGTCGTGGAGTTGAGAGTAGAGGAGGAAAGGTAGAGTTGGGTGTCATCCGCATACATGTGGAAGTTAACCCCATGTTTGCGGATGATGTCACCGAGGGGGAGCATATAGAGGGTGAAGAGGAGGGGACCGAGGACAGAGCCCTGAGGGACACCACATGAGACAGTACGGGGGGTGGAGGAGAAGCCATTCGTTGAGACGAAGTGAAGACGGTGAGAAAGGTACGACCTAAACCATTCAAGGACAGTGCCTTGAAGGTTGAGGTGGGAGGACAAGCGGTGGAGTAGGATAGCGTGGTCGACCGTATCGAATGCAGCCGATAGGTCGAGGAGGACGAGGAGACAGAGGGAGCCCTGGTCACAGATGGTCAGGATATCATTGGTGACCTTGACCAGGGCAGTTTCTGTGCTATGGGCAGCACGGAAACCTGACTGAAGGGGTTCAAAAAGAGAATAGGTGGAAAGGAAAGAGCGCAGTTGGGAGGCGACAACTCTTTCCAAGACCTTGGAGAGAAAGGGGAGGTTGGAGATGGGCCGGTAGCTTGATAGCTGCGACGCATCAAGGGAGGGTTTTTTCAGGGTGGGCGTGATGATGGCAGTTTTTAATGGAATGGGGACAGAGCCAGAGGAGAGGGACAGGTTTATGATGTCAGTGATATGTGGGGCAAGAAAGTGGAGCTGGGAGATAAGGAGTGGAGTGGGGATGGGGTCAAGGGAGCAGGTGGTTGGTTTTAGGGATTCGATGAGTTCAGTGACAGAGGGTGGGGAAACGGGTACGAAGGTGTGTAGGGAGGATGGGTAGGAGTCGGAGTATGCGAGGGAAGGGGTGGGTGGTGGGTGGAAGTTGGAGGGGAAGTGACCGCGCAGCGGATTCCCTTGATCTTGGATTCAAGGAAATCCAGCATCTCCTCGCAGTGAAGGTTGGAGGAGATGACCTGTGCGGGGTGGCGGGGGGGACGGAGGAGTCGGGTTGTGGTGGAAAACAGTAGCCTGGGGTTGTTCTTCGCCTCCAGGATTATCCTGGAGTAGAAGGACGACTTGGCCGAGGCTAGAGTGGAGCGGTAAATTTTGAGGAGGTCCAGCCAGATTTGTCGGTGGACCGTTAGGCCAGATTTGATACAGGTGCGTTCAGCAGCCCGCACCTGGCTTTTCAGTGAGCGGAGGTGGGTGGTGTACCAGGGGGAGGAGCGGGAGTAGGAGACAGTGCGGGAAGTGATGGGGGCAAGAGTATCGAGTGTGGAGGAGAGGGTATTGTGGAGGAGGGAGAGAGGAGAAGAGGGGTCGGTGAGGGTTGAAGGCCAGAGGGAGAGGAGTTCAGAGGACTCCAAGGCATCGGTTAGGGATTGTGGGGGTAACTTCTTCCAAGGGCGGTAGAAGATGGTGGTGGGTCTGGTGGAGGTGGGGAGGGGGGTGGAGGTGGTGAAGGAGATGAAGTGGTGGTCAGAGATGGCCTTGTCGGTAATAGTGTCGGCCTTGTCGGTAATACACAACCTCAGACACACTCAGCCACTCCCACCCTTACCTAAACCCACCTCCTCCTCACCCTCACCCACACCGAAACCCTTGCCGTCTGGAACCACACCCAGACGTTCCCCATCCTTACCCACAGAGAAGCGCTCACACACAAATTCTGGGAGCAGTCAGACAGAGAAGATGTGTGCGAAGGCTGATCAGGTGGTCAGGGTGAGCTGTGCAAGTGCGAGGGGAGTCATGAGAAGCGGAGCGTGAGCCTTTCCCACTCGTAGGATCACATTACCAATTACGGCTTTGGTTTGTATGGTTGACAGGTGCTGAGTGGGATAATATCCTTCCCCCAAATGACTGGTCTGTCCTCAAAGGTCCTGCCGATGAGCCAGGCCGAGCTATGCTGCCATCAGCAGTGAGAGCCCTGGAATACTGCGGCCCCTCCTGACTCAGTAACCGGACTAGAGACCGTCACGGAGGGTTGACTGATTCTGACATTCCGTGGCCCATTCCAGATGAGCTCCAGTGAGACTCTGTTCACCTCCAGTCAATGAGGACAAGTGATATCACTGAGAACATTGTGGGCAGTTACACAGCGCAATGCCGCCATCTGCCGGCAATAATCGGTACTGCAGGTAATATTTTTTTATTGAAACACAGACTCATCTGCAGTAAATGATTATAGGACTGAAATGCATAACAGCCTTCAGTAGAGATGAAATAAAGATGAATTGATTCTTCTGCCTTACCGCGCTCCAGCATTAGATGGTGATAACCGGATCGAGGGACTGAGCTATAACATTAATATAATGCGATTTAGTGGGGAAACTGCTTATTTACATAAACATATGAAAACGTGTGAACAAAACGAAAAGCACTGCAGAAGCTGGAATCTGAAACAAAAACAGAGAGAGCGGGGAAAACTCAGCAGGTCAGGCAGAATCTATGGAGAAAGGAAAGTGAGTCAACGTTTCTGACTAAGTGTCCTGGACCCGAAATGTTGACTCACTTTCCTTTCTGCACAGAGGCTGCCTGACCCGCTGAGTGTTCACAGCACTCTCTGATCTTGATAGTGAAAAGGAATGAAAATGTATTCGTCCATTATAAAACAACACTGAGGAACAGCAGCGAGTCGCGATCCTACGTGAAGGAAGACTAAGTAAACACAGGTTGTCTGTGGAAGTTGTAAAAGTAATGTTTTTGAAGTGAATTTTCTTGGAGCAGCAATGCCGCTATCAGCCAAAGGGAGGCGGTGTTGTACTGTGTACATCGGGTGGGATTCTAGTGCAACACCGCCACTTGCTGGACATTTGGCTGCATTGCAGACGATAAAGCCATTCCTATCTGCCTGGACTTGGCGTCAATTTCAATTCCTCCCATTCAGTGTGTGATTACTGTGAGTTGTGCTGAGACGGGAATTGTAGATATGTGTGGAGCCATTTACTGTATAGAGAGTGCGTTTTGGTCCATGTGTAACCAAAGAGCGTCCGAAAAATGTATATAATTCTCAGTCCATCAAGGGTGGCGATGCGGAAAGTGGCGCAGGGGCTCAACAACAACAACAGCAACCTCAAACTTGTATTTGTACAGAGCCGGGACCAGCCCCACCCGTGTAACTGCTCCCTGTAGTGTAGGTAAAGGGAACAGGACCCGGCGGGGAGGCCGCGGGGACAGGGTCGGGACTGGTTGTGGGTTGAGTGGATGTGTGCGCTTTGTGTGGCCGTGTCTCCGGGTGTTTACCGTATAAACATGTGTGTGTGAAGTCCTGTAGCTCAGTGGTTAGACTACTCGCTTTGCAAGCGAGAGACCTGAGTTCAATTCCAGACAGGGCGAAACTTTGGGCAAGTTTCCTTACTCCACACGCCTAGTAATAATCCCTCCAAAAACCAAAACCAATAATAAATTGGTAATTTTCAATCCACGACTGTTTGTGCGCAATTGGCTGCCGCGTTCGCCCACAAATATACAGTCAATTCACTTTAGGGTATATTATGTGAAGCGCTTGGGACGTCGAGAAGATATGAAAAGCGCTATATCAAATGCAAGGATTATTTATTATATATGTAGTGCCCACGGGGACGTGTCCTCACTGTATTTAAAATGAGTGTCCCCCAAAATATGCAGACAACCTGTGTGTTGTTAACCTCTCCAC